CTTTTTGGCTCTTATGGATAATGCTTTTAAGTGTATTACATGTGGTGCAAATTCAGATTACTTATATTCTAAATATGGCGGGGAAATAGTAATGGAGCGTTGCAAAGTCTGTGATAATGTGGTAGATAAATATGTTGAGTTTGACCTAGTTGTAATCATAATCGATCTCTTGGTTCAACGGCTTGATGCTTTTAGGCATATGATTCACAATAGGGAGTTTACCCATATCTATAGACGCATCATTCTAGGCTCGATTTTAGATGGGTTTGCCTCATGGATAAGTCTTCAAAGAATGCAATCATTTGTTTCTGAGGATTTTTCGCTCCAAATTAGTCCAGATTCTTATATCCACATTCTAGCTCGGCTTTCTTCTTGTGTAGCTTTCTTTTTTTGCCTTAAATCGACATGTTCTTATTCAGCTGCTGCGATTGATGATAAATTGCTTAAAGTTTTGGCCCTCGTTACATTCAGCAACTTGTTGACAGTCTTCATACTTCCATGGAAGGCTTACTTTCAGACATTGTTCGGAAACGATTTTATTGAATTCTACAGTATCGTTAGTTTTTTCATTTCCCTCATCACAACTTTACAATCCCTTCGGGCTTTGGATGGTCGGTCTTTCTACTCTGCTGGAATTTGTAGTTTTTTTCTTAATCTGTTGCCGCTCGCATTTGTTTCATATATTGTCAAACCTTTGCTTTTTTATTACCTTAAATAAAATCTTCCATTATTTCCTTGTTTCTCTTACTTCATATATTCGATTAGCACCTAGCCGGATTTTTTTATTTTAGATGATATTTCTAGTTGTTATACCATTAATGCTAATGACTTTGGCTCATTCCGAATCTAACAATGAAGTTGATGTCATGCTGCTCTCGCATTGGTTGGATACACCACTGATAGCTGAAGCCAGGTATCACATAATTTTTGTTAATTTTAAACCAGTGAATTTCTTGCCCGAGTATCTCCGTCATATTTTTGGAACTTCATTGACTTAGTTGGAAAGGAAGTGCTTAAGCAAAATTACTATAATTCAGAATCTACAAGTGCTCTTTTTTCAATGGGAGATGTCTCTAAACCCATCATGGGATCCGATTATAATAGACTACTTCGGCTTGTCAGTATGGCGCTTGAAACCACCAGTTCATCCTTTGGTGATGCTTTGGATCCATTGCAAAGAGGCATATTTCACTTAATGCTGGCCTCGAGCTCTTTCTCTCCAGCTGTGGAAACGGCTCACCAAATCGCAATATCTTCCTCGTCGTTTATTCACGCTTATCACAATTCATCTGATTTCAGCGGCAATATTCCCTGTGATCCTGGTGTAGTTTGGGCTCAAATAGGATCCACGACCATGGTCTGTGATAGAACAAATTTAAAAAAAACTATTGAGGTGGAAAGGAAAAAAAATAGTAGGTTACTTCTGACGTTCTTACTATCCATACTTTCACCCTTATCCTTACCTCGACTGCAATTGTTTCTACATTTTGATATTAAACACAATTTTTTTAGTCAAGTATCCTTAAATGTGTTATGTTCTTCATAAATATTTAAACCCTGAGTATTTTGGATATAATATACGTTTTAGATACATTCACTGATGTCTATTTTATAGATAAGCCCACTGGGGATCGATCTAGAATAGCTGAAAATCTTATAATATCGATGAATTGTGTATATTACCTTAAATTATCCAGGCAGCTAGAATGCCCGGCTTATTACACATCTAGCCAAGAAACCTGCTAGGGGAGGCGCGTTCTCACTTTCTACCTAAGCTGCATCGAGTCTTTAAGGCTGAATTTTACCTTATGTTGATCATCAACAAGTTCATAATAAGGAATTATCAATTCTTTTAATCTGTTCAGGAAGTCAACTTAACATTTCTTACATTCCAAGCATTCCAAAGCTTAGCTTAATCTCTTTATCTGACTTCGACAACCTGAACAACAGGACGGCACTCAAATGGTAAGTCTAGACTGCTAGAATAAACTCCGAATCTCTGAGACACCTTGATAGTCCTGTATGAGCCTGTTTGTCCTAAGATACAAATTCGTTATTTTCGTGTATCGTAATAAATGAATATCATAAAAATTCTGTTTTGCTTTTTCTAAATTTAAGTTCCATCATCTATATCATATATCTGTTTTTTAATATCTTTATTTTCGTACCTTCACTAATAATTTACTACACTTTCTATCAAAATTGTTTAAATTTCCCAGCAATCGATATATTTTTGCATAATAAGTAATATTTACTATGTTAACCTTTTCGCACAAAGGAATGTTCTTTTAGACATAAATCTTACTTTCACTGAAATATTCCTTAATACAGAAGAATAACTTACTTTGTTCGATTTATTTAGACTTTTCATTTAAACTTTTAGCAAATACCAAAGCTGATGTTTTTCGGACAGACAAAGTCTACCTCTCTGGCACAAAGCCCAAGAACGAGAGACCTATACATGTATTTTTATATGGAGATATTAGAATTCCGATCTTTTATCAATGGCATGAAGAACTTAAGTATTTGACTAACACGGAAGATATCACTTACATTTTTAGGCATTATTTCAAGGTTAGTTGGTTCTTAATATGGAGGCACTCAAACTTTTTCTTTACATTTATCGCATTTGCCCTCCAAGAAGTGACGTTTTTGTTTTTAAAATTGAGGTCAACAGCAGCCCTTTTCAGCTCCATATTTCCACTCTCATTTATATGCAATTGCTTGCGATTTATCGTTACCCTTAACATATATACTAACATTTAATCAAAAAATAATTTTAAATAGGGCAGACAGAATCTTTATTCTGATTTCTTCTTAAATAAGCATGAAAACTCCTGAAATTAACTAAATCAACTATGAGCTTAAACATCCTTATGCTTTTTAAATCTTTTTTTTGGATCTGCTTGATTCAAGAGAAGAAGCATTTTTTTGTCATTTACAATTCCTTTGAGATTGGA